GGTCCCTGTGCTTTGCTTAGCTTGTTCTAAGTAGGTGCTTTAGACCACTGAGCCATCTCACCAGCCCTTTACAAGACTTTTAGAAGACAGCTTGAACATTACCTATAAGTAAACAATCTATCTGGTTGTTTTCTTTTGATAACAGGGCCAGGCAATGCAGTATGAGTTCTAATATGCATAATAAAGAGAAGCTTATTTCTTTTAAAAAGCAGTTGTTTTAATTTGAAAATGTTTAGTAGTAGGTATCATAAGTAATATTTGTCTTTCATAATCACTGTCAATAATTACCCAAATGTACAAATACACCTTGGGTAATAATACTACTCCTTTCTACAGTCAGAGCTACAGTATCTTTTGGAATAGGGCTGAAAACTCCAGTTTTAATTTTGTAAACTCCACAAGCTTAGAGCAAAAGCTGATTTCTGCAGCCATCAGATCTAAAGCTGTGCTTTCACCTCGGGGGTTGCAATGGAAAAGATCTGCGACCCTGCATTTGATTGAAATTTGGGCTGGCCAATGGAAACTGCAGGTATCCCATATTGTTCATCTCTGGGTCCCTGGATGATGGGCCCATTCTTCAGCTTCCCTGAGATTATAAAGTTTGGCCATGCTTGTCAAGCTTGGAGCAGCATTCATTAACCCAATGTTTACCTTTCCCACATCTCAGACAAGGTCCTAGAGCAGTCTTGTTATTTTTATCTCCTTTTTTCTTTTTATTTTGTCCTTTTCTGTAATTTTTTTTTTGTTTTTTTTTTTTTTTTTTGGTACCAGGGATCAAACTCAGGACCTTGCACTTGCCAGGCAGGTGCTTATGCTGCTGAGTTATATCCCTGGCCATTGCAATCTTTTCTCATATGACCCATTTTTCCACACTTAATACATTTGGTATGATTTTGTTTAAACAGACTATGGGCGAGGGAGATGGCTCAGTGGAATAAGTGCTTCCCTGGCAAGCACAAGGGCCTGAGTTCAATCCCAGGTTCCACAAAAATAAATAAACAAACAGACTGTAAGGCAGCTGCCAATAAATTACCTTTGTATGGCTCTGAGCCAATATCAGTGCAGGCCTTAATATA